GGATTTGTTACTGAAGCTGTTCCCGCATTCTGGGCATTTGTAGGGTTTTTCTCCCGTGTGAGTCCGGTCGTGGGTGAGGAGGGCCGACCGTTTCTTGAAGCCTTTCCCGCAATCAGCACACTTGTATCGTTTCTCGGCTGCTTTGGGTCTCTCACGATCCATCAGGCTCGACTGATCACCAAACCCTTTGTCATACATCAGACAGTAATGTGGATCCTCTCCGGTGTAGATTCTTTTATCCTCATTGCCTTCTGGAAGAGAAAATTAGGGTATCAGTCTTTAGGTAGGCCTGGGGCTAATACAGGTAGTCCTTGACTTACAACCGTTCATCCAAAGTTACAACAGTCACTAAGTGACTTATAACCTTTTGTCACACTTATAACTGTTGCAGCATCCCCATGGTCACGTGATCAGAGTTCGGACACCTGGCAATTTTTTTGATGATTGCAGTGCTGCGAGATTGCATGATCACCTTTTCTGACCCTCTGACAAGCAAAGTCAATGAGGAAGCCAGATTCCACTTAACAACATGTTACTCATTTAACAACTGCAGTGATTCATTTAACAACTGTGGCAAGAAAGGTCGTAAAACGGGGCAAAACTCACTTAACTGTCACACTTTAGCCACAGAAATGTGGGGCTCAGTTGTGGTTGTAAGTCGAGGACTACCTGTACCAATAAAAGCTGCCCTCCATAAAATGAAACCTTTCTTTTTAATAAAAGTAATTCTAAACTGTGCGTTGTTAAAGGAGGACATGATAGGCGCAAGGAAATCTATCAAGTTCTAAAACTGCCTGTGTCTTTTGCTGATATATTCAACTTTTTAAAAATTGTGACGTGACCAAATTTCAAAAGAGTTGAAGAATACAATTCTACATCCCAGACTATAGCTTGACAGTCAAGCTCATCCATCAGCTCAGAATAACAAAGTGCACAGGTAGTCCTTGATTTATGGCCTTAACGAGAGACGTAAGCTTGATAATTGTAAAAATGGGTTGGTCATGTGACAACCCGGTATTAGGAGTTTTGCAGTAGCCATTACGCAAATTACTATGGTCGTTATGTGAATCTGATATTGTTAAGCAAACCAATAGTTCATGAGGGGCATGCTTTTGCTGAAAAGTAGAGGTGCTTGTTTTGGGCAAAAGCCATAAAATGCAGTCATGTAACTGTGGGACTCCGCAAACCATAAACGTGGCCATGTTGCTGAGTGTCCAAGTCATGTGATCACAGGAAGAGGACAGCGACCATCATAACTTCAAATTTAGACCATAAGTAGCCCCAAGGTAGGATCATTATAACTCTGAATAGTCGCTAAGCAATCAGTCATAAGTTGAGGACTACCTACCTACCTGATTTACCACAATCATCCATTTTAAACTAGTATATGAAACCACCCACAGCAAACCTCATTTCCTCTCCTCCCCCTCCCAAATTTGCCTAGCACAGTGATGGCGAACCTTTTAGAGACCGGGTGCCTAAAAGCTGCCCCCCACCCCGCCCCGCCTCCCACCCTGCTTGCTCCACCCCCTGCCCCACCCACCCGCAGGGCCACGTACTGCCTCCATGGCCCACCGCAGCATATCGCCCAGGCAACCCTGCAGCACCATGGCAGCCACGCACTCCACCCACAACCCACAGCATCATCTGCACGCTATGGGACGTGAGGGCAGAGTCTTGTCCCTGCTGCCCGGTTATGTCCTTGGCCACGCTACTCTGCGCGGGCCGTGCCCAGGGGCAACTCTTCTCCAGGGGGGCTGCTGGTGAGGAGGGAGCCATGGGGGGAGGCAGGGCTGGGGCAACGGTGCACATGCCCACAGAGAGGGCTCCGAGTGCCGCCTCTGGCACGCGTGCCATAGGTTCGCCACCACTGGCCTAGCAAATCAGCCACTAGAAAAAAAAAGAATGACATAGAAACCCTGAAGAACAGATCAATCTTTCTGGAAACGAGGAGGCCAACAGTGCCCCCAAAGGCTGCCTTGTCTTCACTGTGACTCCAAGTAGTGCACAGGTGTCAAACTCGCCATGTCACGTGATGTGTCACGACGTATCGCAACTCTTTTTGCACTGCCGGCAATGGGGTAGGTGCGGCTTTGGTATGATGAAACCGGCCCACGGGCCAGCAGTTTGACACTCCTGAAGTAGTGCATGGAGCTAAAGGAAAGCAAGACAGCAACAGCGTTCCTCAGCTAGAACATTCATGGATTCTGTGCTGCTGCCCCATCTCCTTCTTAAAGCATCAAGATTCCTGCAGTCAGCTGCTCCCCAGAAGTGGCTCCCTGGATTCATTTTCACACAATCTGTGTTGACCTCCAGGTGAGGCTGGAGAAATGCATGTGACATATTTCCAAATCAAGTCCTCCTGGAAGTCAGGGAAGAACCCAATTCAACTTTGCAGTGATTCACAAATCTTGAGGAGAAAGAGCCCTCACCCAGAACAATGATGCTGCCAGAATCTTCCTCCATAGCAACTCCAAATCCAACATTTGAGGCTAGCCCCAGAAAACCACTTGCTCCTGTCACGGAGGAAGAAAGAGAGGTCAAAATAATGTCACTTTTAAAATGTTAATTTGGGGAAAATAAGTCCGCGCTGATTTGAGCAGCCAAGTATTTTTCCTGCTTACTCTTTTCTCCAAGGCTAACATTGCACAATCTGACTTTTCAGACCATACATTATCAGAGTTTAACCCTCAAATGGGTTTCAAATTTGTAAGAGTTATAAGTTATCACTTATAACGGTTGGCTGTCTGGGGAATTCTGGGAGTTGAAGTCCACACAGCTTAAAAATGCCAAGGTTGAGAAGCACTGATCTGGAAAGTCCTCTTGGGCTCCAATATTTCCAGACCTAAGCCAACCACTCCCATCACCCCAAATCAGTCAGGCCAAAATACATACATTTTAGAAACCTGTTCATCTCTTTAACTCCCCCCCCTCCTTTAAAAAAAAGCCAGCTACTACCCTTGTTTTTTTCTCTGATCTCTCCAAAAATAAAAGCCGTAAGAACTTTCAGGATTGATCTCATATCTAATAAGGTTCTCCATCACTTCTTCTGGCCTCTGATTGGCCTATTGGAACCAAACTTTAAACAATAAGTGGGCAGGATAAAAATAATGAAAATTTAAAATGTATTTTGACTTCGGTGCAATTAAAATCAAATTGAAACTCTTTAAATATGTGGCTTGGTGTATACTGAATGGTCCCCTGTCCTTTTACCCAAGAGAATTCCACATTGTCTGGACACAGCCATATTTACTCAAAAGCTACTTTTACTCAGATCATGAGGATTTGCACCCAGACATGTAATTGGTGACATACAACCCCAGTCAGCAGCACCCAGACACGTAATTGGTGACATACAACCCGTCAGCAGCTGCACAGTACTAATGCAGATGTGTGCAGATGTGGTTTCAAATAACACCATAACACTATAAAAACAGAGAAGACATAATTTGCAAGCTTTAATTCAACGGGGGGCGGGGGTGATGGATAGGCTCAGTGAAGACCCTGCCAGGAAAATCTGGATGCTGTTCTCTTCCTTCTCCCTCCCCATCTGCTTTATCTTTTGGAGCAATCCACTCGTCGGGCGTTTCTTCTCTTCCCCAATCGAATGTGTTTTTCCTCTCCTTTTCAACACCCCAACCACTTTTGGTGAGAAAACAAACTTTTATAAATGGGTTAAGTCCCACCCATCCCACACCTTCTGCATCAGGGCAATCCCTAAAAAGGACTACCCATAAGGAAGAAGAGAGGTAAATTTTTAAAAAGCTGGGAGACATTTTTCATAGGACAAAGCACTTTAAGGGGCAGCTAATCCGGATTAAGCCATCCAAAGCACACGCGGATTCAAACAGACCTGGGAGAATCTCTCCTTCTCTTTCTGTGTGTTTTAAAGGCGGCTTTTCCCCTTGCTTTCCGCTTCCTATCATGTGACCGAAGCTCTGCCAGGAGACTGGCAAGACAGACCCGACTAATCAGCTGTTAGAGCGGATGGATGAATGGAGGATCGGGAGCCTGTGATATTCAAGCCTGCGTTACAACAGTTCATTTAGTGACCGTTCAAAGTTACCATACCGAACGAAGGGAGTTATGAAACCGTTGCAGGATCCCCATGGTCACGTGATCAAAATTCAGACACTTGACAACTGGTTCGTATTTATGATGGTTGCAATTGTCCATGGTCATGTGATCATCTTTTGTGACCCGACAAGCACATTCAATGGGGAGGCCAGAGTCACTTAACAACTTTGTTATCAATTTAACAGCTGCAGTGATTCATTTAACAACTGTGACAAGATGTATTTACTCAAGAGCTACTTTTACTCTGATCAAGAGGATCTGTGACAAGAAAGGTCATAAAATGGGGCAAAACTCACTTAGGAAAATGTCTTGCTTAACAACAGAAATTTTGGGCTCAATTGTGGTCGTACGTTGAGGATCACCTGTAATTAAGCAGCAGCAATTTGACTGCATGTCATCAAGTCGTCTTTGACTTTTAGCAACCACATAC